TTAAACACAGGGAGGGAGGGATGGCTCCCCAGGCCTTGGAAAATCTGGGCATGCAAGCAGAAGTGGGCACCCAGTTAGGTGATTTTTCAGTAGGTGCTGTGTGACTGTGTGGTAATAACCTCTGGCATACTGAGGAATCAACTTTTAGGGTGAATTATTCATGTTCTGTAACAGTTCTGGAGGAGACAGAAATGCACTGTTCCTCTGAGACACTGGTTCCACTTTGGGACTTTGAATGTGAAACTGCCTTGCTGAATTTGGGTTTTGCAAGGTCTTTCAAGGTTTCCCGATTTGTTAATATTTTGTTTCTCCCCCGAATTTTCTGAAATAAAAGCTTTAATTATTTTTTCCCCTTTTTCTTTTTTCCCCCCTGAGTACTGGCAGCTATTTGGGGTTGGTCTGAGGTTTTTGTTGTTGTTATTTTTGTGGGGTTTTCTGATTCTGAAATGCTAAAAGGAAGCAGTGAGGGACCTGTGAACTGCCTCACTGCTTCTCTGAAGGCAGGTTGCTGGAAGGCCGTGCTGGCTGATTAGGGGCTGTTCCATGGAGATCTGCTGTGCCTGGTTTTTCCTGCTGTTTTGTGTGAATGAGGCTACAGCATGAAGGAATGTGGCCAGAACTTTGGAAGGACCCTAGAACTGACCTTTATTCTTTAGCCAGCAATTTTCCTGTGCTCTCTGCAGCCACGAGAAGGGTTTTTTTTTTCCTAATAGACTCTTGCAGATACATCAAGCAGAGCAGGAAAAGTGCACAAGGTTCTTCAGGAGGAAAAGCATTTCACCAAAAAGCACAAAAGCTCCTAAAATCTCCACACCAGTGACCCTTGGAGGAAGCTGCCTGGCTGAAATGGGACCTGTAATTCCATATTGAGCTATAGGTAATAATGAAGCATTTGTGAAATCAGGTTGCTAAGCTGCAGGTATTTTTAGCCTGTGTAATTATTATTTTACTTGCACACTGTATTGGAAATGGGAATCTGTGAGCTCTCTAAGCAGCCAGTGTGGCTCTTGCAAGATGAGCATTAAGTTATGGACCTGATGCTTGTTTTGTGTGTACTTCACACTAATATATGGAAAAATGTCTGCTGAGCAAAGCGACTGCTCCAGCTGGGAACTTGGCAGTCCTTCAGCACCAGAAGCAGCCAGTACCTCCCACAGCACACTCGGCCCTGCTGGCCTTGCACACAGCACAAGAGCTTTCAGGAAGTTTTTGGAGGAGTTGTACAATCCAGCACTGTCCCCACCAGGTTTTGGCAAACCTGTCAGTAAGGTATTGCTGCTTTTCAGTGCTGATGTGCCTGGAAATTATAGACGTGGCAGATGATTCCCAGAAGGAAGACATCAAATTAATGAGAAGGAGCTGTATCCTTTCAATTGAACCTATTTGGGTTTATGAATCTGTAATTATTATTTTATGCTTCTATAGGTTGTGCTTCAAAGCTGCCCTTGTAGGAGGTGGCAGCAGAGACTTGGCTTTCTGGACCACAGATCTGCACTCCCCAAGGAAAGTGGGAATTAACTCTTGGAGGAGCACATACACAGGAGGATACCAAAACATCCTTCCAGTTTCCAGCTGCCTCCTGGAGCTGTTTATGTTGTTAGTTAGGAACTGAGCCATCAGACTGAGGATGTTTGGGAGGGGGTTTTTTTTATACAGAATAGCCTTGAAGCTTTAAATTTGAGACTTCTAATCCCTGTTGCCTGGTGGCACATTGACATTTCATGATGTTGGCAGTGATCTGGCAAGGCCATGTGATCTCTTGGGCATCAAGACACTGTTCTGTGGTAATAATCAGCTATGGAGGCTGTGAGAAATAATTTTAATAACCTGACTTGCAGTTGCTGGTTCCACAGACCTTCTCCCTACCGTGCAGGTTATATGTCAGAGTGGGGAGAGGTGTTGGTACCTGAGCAGGAGCTTCTGCAGGCTAAATTAGGAACTGCCTGCCCACATACAGCCAGCCCTGCTGGGTGTGGGATGCTGTTCATGAGGAAGAGAGACCAGAGCAGCAAAGCAACTCCATTTGAAATCACTGCTTTACCTCAGTAGTAATATTGAGGTTTACTAGTAGGTTTTTTGGGTGGTTTCTGCAGTGAAATTGTTTCTGGTTGAGCGCTCCGAATAAAACAACCTTATGTGCCACTTTTGTAGGAGGATGTGTTATGCAAGACATTTTTAAGAGTGGTGTAATGGTCATGGAAACTAGTTTGTAGTAGTGTTGGGTGAGATCCATGTCAACCCAAAATACATGTGTCTGCAGAAGGCTGCCCACAGTGATTATATCCCCTGCAGAACACATCTCTGCTGCTCCTCCTGCAAGAGGTGCTCCAGTCCCTTAATCCTGCTCAGACCTTGTCCCAGGGGCTGAGCCAGACCCCAGGTGTGGTGATGTGGGGGGTACATATCTGGTGCCTGGCCCCACATGGGGTTGTGCCTGCACTGATGGTGTGTTCTAAGCAGCAAGAATGCCTTTGCAGCAGTCCAAATATTAGCCTTGGCACCCAGTCAGTGTGTGTGTAAAGCAGTCTTTAAGAAGGTTGGAATTAACATCCAGAATATTTGGGTTTAAAGTCTCTCATTGAATCCATAGGTCAAGAAACAAAACGTGTTTATGCAGCTAATGGCTTTGGAGAGGGGGCACTGAGTGTTTAATCTTCTTAGGAAGTTGCTTAATTTTGGAGGGTTGCTCAGGTTTCCTATGGTGTTAAAGTAAAATAGTTCTAAATGCTTTCCATACTCTTCCAAGCCCCGTTTATTCCCACTTTTCCTCCCTGCTTTCCCCAAGCTCGTGAAAAAAGTCATAGTCTCTTCTGCAGAAGAGTCTTCATGTGTAGGACCTGTACTCTGGTGTGTGTTGGAGTGGAGATGAATTTTGGGGCTGTGTTGTCACTCAGAGTAACTACTTAAGTGTCTTTAGAGAAGAAAGGCTGTTGGGCTGAGAGCAGTCAGTGAGTCCCTGTAGTGGGGAAGCTTTACCCAGAAATGCTGATGCTTTTGCCTGTTGTTTTTTACTCCAGGCTGCTGTGGTGCCTCTACCTGGGGCAGGAGGCTGTGGGGACACCGGGGACACCAACCACCTCTGGGGCTGGTTTAACCACTTGGGCCGTGCTCCAGGAGCTCTGGGGACCTTTTGTTCTCTCCTGGTTTTGGAACCCTCGTTCCTGGTGCTGAGGAACCCCCAGCTCTGGGCTCAGCAGGGCTGGAAGTGGTGGAGCTCAGCTGGGCTCAGGGCAGTGGTGGAACTCCTTACAAGAACTCTCTTTACTGAGCCAGTGCTGTGGTGTGTGGAGTGAACTGGCCTCTAATTTTCATGTTGCTTTTACCAGGCTGCATTTTAGCTAAAAATGGAAGCTTGTGGCCATGCAGATTTTTATTTTTTTTCAGAAGTAGTTTGTCTACTTTTTTTCTTAAATGAACTCCATCTTTACCATAGAATTGCAAATCTCTGGTTGCCAGGACTGCCTTCTGTGGGTATCACAGGGTGCTTTCAGCATCCCCAGCTGAAAACTCAACTCTGTGGAAAAGTTTGCTGTTGTGCTTCCTTCCTCTCCTTGCAGGCTGGCTAAAGTAGCTTTTTTGGGGTTTTTTTTGTTTGTTTTCCTTTTTTTACAGAAGGCAGATGAAATCTGCAGCACCTCTCCTGCATTAATGAGGGTGCAGCACAGGACAGTAATGGTGTGTGGTTTGGCCTTTGCTGTTGTGTGTTCTTATGTGCCAGCATAAATTTACTTGTTTACATTGCAGGTAATCCTTTCAGAATTCCATTAGGTTCCATTGTCTCTGCAGGGTGGGCGAATTTGTGCTGTCAAGACTTCTGAAAGTTGCCCCAGTTGCTCTTTTTTCAGCACTTCAGCTGGCCACCTCCTGTATTTGTGTCTGGGGGGTGAGGTTCGGCTCTGAGCCTGAGTTACTGTTTTCTGTTTAAAATCGTGTTGTTCTGGCAGTAACAAACAAACCTGCTTACGCTGCGATGGTTTCATAATCACAGCATTAAACTGTTCATCTACAAATGAGCTTGGATGAGGATGATCCATATCCTAAGTAGCTTAACCTCCATTCCAGACACTGAAGTGAATTTTCCAGCTAATAGCGAACTGTGAAATCCGAAATGCGAGAATTTCAGTTTGAAGGACGTGGAGCTGGAGGCTGGCTTTCTGATTTAAGATTATTTTGCTTCAGTGCCTTCCTGCTTTGTGCTTGGAATAATTTCCCCCTGTCCTGACACGGTGGCTTTGAACAGGGTGTGCCCTGACATCCCCCCAGCCCTGTCCTGCTGTGACAGGGGCAGGTCCCCATGTTTCCATGTGTGAGTGGTTGTCAGTGTTTCAGATCTGTAATAGTGCTTCGTGCTGCCAGAGGACAAAATTGTTCCAAAATCTCCTTTATTGACCTTGCTACAAAGCCCGTGTGTGTGTGTTAAACCATTTTGTGGGCCCAAACTGCAGGTGTGTGATTTCCTTAATGTGGCAGTTTGTACTTTCTCTGCTCTTTTGGAGCGTTGTGCTCTCACTGGAGCTCCTTAGTGGGAGGTTTATGTAACTTCTGATAAAATAGGTATCTTCATATTTAACTGTGCTCAGAAGGCAAATGCACCTCAGGAAATGGATTGAGCAGAAATAATTTCAGTGCTTTGCAAATGCTGGTTTTTGGGGGGGACAGGGCACTTTGTAGGGCAGTGAAAATCAGAGTCTTGTATGAATGAGACAATATTTTGTTACAATCCCAAACTCTCTGCTGGCCTGGGCTTCTGTATGGCCAGGGGAAGGGAACTAATGGTCTGAGCATTGCAGGAGTTTTCTTGGGAGAAGAGTGTTAAAAGCTTCTCGACATGAGCGAGTCTCCTGGTTGTGTTTCCTTCCTGAAGACGGGCCAGCTGTTTGGGGGCTAACAGAATTAGTCTGGGCTTTGATAGGGTTTTAATTTCTGCTGAATTTGTCAGCAATCGGTGCTCGTTCTTGATAATTGTATTAATTCTGGGTTTGGTGTGGTTCTTTTTGCAGAATTTACATGTTTGACAGCAGAAGTTGCCTTTCTACTGTAGTGAGAGAAAATGTAAGTACAGAAAGAAGGTAACAACTTTTTTTTTTTTTTTTTTTAGTGCTTGAGAAACGTGCTCTTTTTAAAAAGTGGCTAACTTCAGATTTCTGGCTGTTGGTCTGTGCAAGCCCAAAAAGTCCCTGTTTTCTCCCTTAGCATGTGTATCCTTATGTCAACAGGAAGGATTTTAAAATGGCCAGGGAACCTGCTAAATAATAGATGTTACTGCCTGCCTTCTGTCAGAGAGGGAGCTGGCACAGCAGAGGGAGACCACAGATGAAACTGTTTCATCTCAGTGGGGCAGGGAACTGTAATAAATAAAGTGATGAGAACAGTCATTCTCTCATGAATGAAAAATTACTTCTGCACCATGTTTGACAAAAGAAGGCCACATTTCTTTTGAGCAAAGTGGCTCTTGTCAGAATGTTCTTTTCAGCGTGTCAGTATTATTTCAACAGAACCTAAAAGTTTCAGAGTTTATATTCTGTGTAATTGTAATTCTTACTAATGCTCTTGGAACAGTGAAATCTTCATTACCTTCCAGGCTATAACTTCAGTTTCTGTGGAGCTCCTCAGTCTGGGAGGAACGTTGCTAATTGGCCAAGCATTTGCTCAGTGAAATCTGTTTCAATTACTAGATATTTACCTGTTTTTCAAAAAACAGGCAGCAGGCTTTATTTCTCTGCCCTCTGGAGATTTGTGTACTTCAGGATCTGAAGGCACCCTGAATTTTTTTCCTTCTATTTTGGATTATATAAATGCGAGAGGCAACACCTCAAATCTGTTCCACGAGCAATTCTGGTCTTACTGTATTTTCTCCCGACTACAAACGAAACACAAAATCAATATATACCTCTGCAAACAAAACCCAACCCTCAGCTTCTCCGAGCCAGCGTGACGTGGACCTGCTGGCAGCGAGTTGTGTGTAATTCCTTTGTCATTGTGAAAATGCCCAAGCTGCTGCTGGGCCTGTTGCTAATAGGATTTGTGGTATCTCCCAGATTAGCACAGCTCCATTTAATCAGATGCCCTGCTCTGAGCTGTCTGCTGGCCGTGCCCTCAGCTCGCCACTGGGGCTCTGCTGCTGCAGATGGGCTGGGTTGGCTTTTCAGCCCCGTTGGGGTGTGATGTGTGTTGGCAGAGGAGAGGTGGAGGGAACAAACATCAGCCAGGCTGTTCACAGGAGAAAGGGGATTTGCTTAGGAAATTACTGTGCTTGGGTAATACACAAAAAATTAGCCTTAAACCCTCGGGTGTTACCAGACTTTGCATCAGCAATGGCTCGGTGGGATTATGTTACTTTTTGGTAGTAGTGATGTGTACTAAAAATATCTTGTGGCAAGCAAAGTTTGGCCATCGGGGGATAGAAGTTCTAAGCATTTGACTTAATGATAGCTTTGCTTTCAAATCTGTTTTTTCTTCTTTTAATCTGTAGAGATTTTTCACAGGAGAGGATGGAAGACTCTCTCCCTTTTTTACTCTTTTTGTATAGGAATGCTGTGAGAAAATGAAAGGAGCACAGCCTTATTTCTCTTATCAGGTAGTTCTAGAGAGGAATAATATTTAACCCAGGAATATATGTCTGAATTTATATGCTCTTCCCACTTCTCGAGCATCAGGCTGCAAATAAGTGTGACAGTATTAATGATACCTTGGGTTCAGTAACTGGACCTAATTGGATAAGCAGCTTGAGCTGGGGGAAAGGACATTGGAGTTGTTACAATGAAATGAGGGAATTGGAGTTCTTCCTTAGCCTTGGAATTTTTCTGTCACTGTTTTCTGAGCAGTGAGCTTTACCTTTAAATAAGAATATTACCCTGGGCTCCTAAATATATCTCCATGTGCAGGAAATACGTGGAAGTTCTGTAGATTCCAAAAGGCTTTTTGCAGTTCAGAAAGCTGGTGCAAAGTTGTTTGGACACTCAACTGACTTGCCTGGGCTTCCATAACTCTCCCCTTCCACAGGAAAATAGCTGGTGTAGGTTAGAGAGAAGCAAACCCAGAGCTGCTCCTCTGAGGTGAGTGATTTGAATAATCCCACGGAATGTAACAAATCATGCAAAGGCAGGAGTTGAAGGCAGGAGCTGATTTTCCCGTGTGGGAAGCAGAGGAACAAAGTGACTCTTCCCTGGGTAACCTGTGAGAAGGGATTAGAGCCTTGGGGCACTTGGAGCAGGAGGAACAGGGAACTGCCTCCCAAGTGCCCAGATTGTTATCCCAGCAAGAAGAGAATTACCTACAAGGTATAGGCTGGTCAACAGGATTAGGGGAATTAGGCTTAGAGCAGAGACACTTAAGCACTTCAGCCTCTGGAAAGGTCTCCAGTGAGTTGGGGAAAGTGAGTGTGTTATTGCTGAGCAGCTGCCTTCAGGAACACACCAACACAGTCAAAAGAGAGGGAGGTAAGCATGGGTTTGGCTGCTGCCTGTTTCTTTGGGAAAAAGGGCTGTGGAACTGGAGGAGGGACTTTTTTTGTGAGGTTGGTTTGATTGAGAAGCTCAGTAATTTCTTTCAAAACTCCAGGAGTAGAATCATCATCCATAGGTTCTTCTAGAAACCTTCTTTTAAGGTTAAATGCCTTTACAATATGCCAATAAACAAAAATCTGTTACTTCATGATATTTGATTGTGTTTGTTTGCAATGAGCAGAGAAGTAAGAGCAGAGACTATTTAATATATGATCTCTGTCTGTAATAGGAATAAATCTATGTAAAAACTTCCTATGTACCAGGAGTGAGAAGAGACAAAAGTATTTTGTGTTCCCATACAGTTCCCTGACTTTACCTGTTGTCCTTGGTCTTCTAAAGTTATTTTTTTCAATACAGGATACTGGTAAGCTCTGATTTACAGCATAGCTAAAAAGGACACAGGAGGATGCAGCCCTTTTTTTTTTTCCCCATAGAACTCATATTTCTACCATAAATTTAATTGTCTAAGGCTGAGTATAAAAGAAACAGAAGAACAGCCAAGCTGGTTTGCTGTTTGTCCCATAAATTTTGCAGTCTTCTTCAGAGAACTCCCTATATTTTAATGCCCTTGGCTGGGTTAGGATTTTCATTTCCTGAGTGTGAGTGAGTTCAGTCATGTTGGCAGGAATTAGAACTTCCTGTTGATGTTGAAACAACAAAGACTACAAAGGGAATGTGGAAATCTGGTTTAAACAATTCCTATGGATGCTGACAGAAAGGCAGCTCAGAGTTTTTGGAGTTGCTTGGAATGCAGAGGGGCTGACTGGGAACTCTGAAAGTGTATCCAACTCCAGGATAGGAAGTTCCATGAATCTGTGGTGTTGCAGATGGGGAAGCCATGGAGGGCTGTGTATGTTCAGCTCCTGACTCACACAGAGAACGTTGAGACGAGCAGGGGACTGAGGGGCAGGATCCACAGGAGCTGCTGTAACAAGAGCAGTTGTTAAATTCCTTGAACTCTCTGCTGCCTGGGATGATGGAGCTGGTTCTGCACGGAGCTGGGAAGCTTTCTGGGGGGTTGCTGCACCAGTCTGGGGCTGCTCACTAAAAAGAAGCTTTCCTTCAAACTCACTGGAGTTCCCAGTCAGGCATTTTTGGGAGCTCAGGAGGTGTGCAGGCTGTGCCAAGCAGTGAGGCACAAGCATGAAATGATCTTGTATGATTTGTTTTAAGCTCTCTTCTGCCTAAATAATCCAGAATGCAACTACAGGGCTCAGTTTCTGAAGTGAACTTTCTTAATATGTTTTTTTTCCCCAGGATAAGGGTTCATATCCCAAGGCCTCTCCCTGTTCCATGCAAGGAAGCTTTGTTGCATTTAAATGCAAGAGAATTCTATTACATAGTGCACAAAACCTGCAGAAATAAATTGGCACTATTTTAAGGAGAGTGTGTCTGCTTTGACTGACATGAGATTATTCCTCCTATTGTGTTTTTAAATAAAGCTGCTTGTAAAAATCTTCAGTGAAGTTCCCTGTACCTGCAGCTGGAATTCTGGTGTCCTGGATCCTTTATCATGATCCCATCAGTGAATTGCTGTGACCTTGAGCAGAGCACTTAAGTCTTGGATTGTAATTTCTTGCTCTGAAATAGGAATGATACCATCTCTGAATTCTTTGTCTGGGAAGGTCAGTATTTGCTTAGTAGGAAATGGGCTTATATATTAACCTGGAGAATGGCAGAAGTAGAACTGGATATCCAAAAGCTGAAATATCTGAGAAAATGCAGTTTATTCTTAAAAACAGCCTTTAGAGTTTCTTTATGACAAGGGTAGTGCACTCCTGTTCCACCAGGTGTGTGAACTGCACAGGAGCTGCTGAAAGGGTGGCGAGACCCACGGGGTGTTTGTGGGAGGTGTAGCATGAACAAAACATCTTAAGGAACAAAAGAGCATTCAAAAGAGAAGAAGGATAATAAAACACCCGGGATGGGCTTTGTCTTAACTGGATTTTGGACTGAGCTGAACAAGCAGTCTCAAAGGGGCTTAGAGATGACCCTGGAACCAGAAGAGAGAAAGAAGAGACCTAATTTCACAGGGGAGTGAAAGGGCCTTGAAGTTGTGTGAGGGGAGGTTTCGGGAGAGAAGCCAAGTAAAATTCCTTTTCTAAAATGTTGTTGGCTTCAGAGAATAGTATAAAACTTGTAAATGATGCTGTGACAAGATCTGGCATTTGTTCCTTGAGATCCTCAGTTTGGAATAACAACTAATATGGAGAGAGATGAGTCTGGTTATGGGGGATGGCAATATTTAGGCAATGCTGAAGTCTGAACTATTTTGAAACTTTTTCTGGCAGTGGTGTTTGTTCCACTGCTCTAATTTGCCTTGACAGTATGTTCTCTGTTACTGTGACAGGATAAAAACTTGGAAGTTATCCTCATCTTTCTCCTTGGGAAGGGCTTTAGGAGGAAAACAAAACCCACATGCTTGCAAAGATAACTAAGCTGATTAAATCTTAACAGAATAATATGGAAAGCTGCTAGCAAAGCATTTGCTTTATTTTAATAGTAAAGGGTCAATTCTGGCTAATAAAATGTTCTAAAAAACACAGTGCCCATGTTTATTTATAAACAGGTGCTCCGTGTAGTGTTTGAAATTGGAACCAGTCATCCTGTGCTGCAATAAAAGATAAACTTGATCAGCACGTTTCTTCAGCATCTTCTGTTGCTGTCAAGCTGCACAGATTTTAAAACAAAAAGTTTTCAGAGCAGCTGAGTTTGAGACGTGGAATGCCAGGGAAAATGCCAGCGATGCCTTTGTGGAGCAGAGACTTTTCAGGAGAAGTTGAGTGCTCAGGGGGAAATGTCTGTGTGGTTGTTGTGCTGGGAGACAATCCAGTGGCTGAGAAACTCTGAGGATGGTTCAGGGGTAGTGATGGTTTGTAGAGCCTGGCTGGCTGGCAGACAGGGAGAGATGTGGGTAACCTGCTGCTGAGGGACACCAGGAAAACAGAGTCTTAGAGGGGAGGAATGTCTGTGGGAAATGATTTCTCAAACTCCTCCCCTCACCCTAACATTCAAAAAAACCCCTGTTTTTTTTCTCTGGCAACATGTTTTCTCTGACCTCCATTCTGGATGTCTCAGGGGCTTTCCAGCAGTTACCAAGTAAAATCCTGAGCGGTGTTTGTGCCTGATCTCCTTTTATCCAGGTATCAGAACAACATTTTTCATAACCACCATGTTACAGACAGGGTTTGTAATGCTTTTTATGGTATTTTGCAAGTGCTGTAAATACTTTTGAGGTGCTTATTCTTTGCTAGGAGGATTCCTTACTCTGATCTGAAGACCTACAGGGAAGGTCTGACTTTCCTGTCTGATGTTGGTGTTATCTGCTCGTTCCCTCTGGAGAAACTTGAGTTTGTACAAAACTGAATCAGAAACACACTAATGCAAAAAGAAGAAAAAGAGGGGTTGGAGGAAGGAAATAAGTCCAAATTATGTTTTGTTCCCTGTGACTGGGAGCTGAGCACATTTGGGATGGTCACACACCGAGGGGATTTCAGAGATGTATTTTCACCTGGATTCCAGGTGAAATCAAAGTGCTGTTTGAAATGACTTGTCTGCTCCTGCAGTATCAAATTATGGCTTCTGCTAATTGTGCTGATTGCCTCCTGTCTTTCAGCTTTCTGGCTGTTCCCGAGGTGGCAGTGGAGCACACCTTTAGCACAGGAAAATGAGTGAGCTGGACCAGTTACGCCAGGAGGCCGAGCAACTGAAAAACCAAATCAGAGTATGTATTGTGTCCTCAGCACAAATGAAGGGTCATTTTGTGTCCTCAGGGGGCCAGAGATGGACAGAGATGATGCATTAAGTGCGTCCAGAGTGTCAAAATTAATGCAGGAAGGGACAAGCTCATGTAACTGCTTTAGAAAATTGCTTTTTGGTCTTGGATATGGCTTGGAAAATAATAGCTACGTAAACAATGCACAGAATTGCTTAGATCAATAGGGATGTTTGCTGAAGATTTTCTGAGCCAGACCATGACTAATGTTAAGAAACCTGCTGCTTAAAATAAGGTCAGTGATAAGGTTAGTCAGGGCTTTGTCCAGTTAGGTCTTGAAAACCTCCAAGGCTGGAGACTGCAGAGCCTGCCTGGACAAGCAGTTCCGTGGCTTGGCTGCCTTTGTGGTGAAAATCCTGTCACCTTTCTCCCAAAAGAAGAAGAGATTTCAAAGTCAAGTGCTCGGTGTGTTGTGACAGCAGGCAGTGCATTATGTTAATGCTGCAGGGTCCCCTCTGGGTGACAGGCAGAAATGCTTTCTGAACCTTGCTTTGAGGGGGGTTCATCAATTTGACAGAGATGAATAAATGTACAGAACTTCCTCCAATTTCTCTCATTTCCTTCTCTTGCAGGATGCTAGGAAAGCATGTGCAGATGCCACACTGGCTCAGGTAAGCATTTCAGAGTTCAGCAGCAATTAGGAAAATTTGTCTCCTTTACAAAAGGAAAGTATGGTTTAAGAAGGTAAATGCAAGGGAATCCTTTTTTGCCTCCTTTAGCAAGTTTTTTTATTTTGCCCTTGGGTGTTTTCTTCCAGAAATAAGTACGTGTTTGTCCAGTTTCTGAGAGCAGTGGCCTTGAGCAGTGGTTTCTCTGAGTGACTCAGGGCACATTGCTGCTGCTTAATGGAAAATAATGCTCTGCTGTGGATGTGGCAGCAGTGCTGTTGTGTTAGCCCTGATAATCTGAACCATGGGGCCTGCTGAGGTTAAATGTCTGCCACATTTATCTGTACAGGGGTATAAAACCCAGATCAAAGGTCTGAAATCCTAGAAGTCTAAGAAGATTCGACCTCAGCAAAGTAATTTCTGGGAGTGTGTAAATGCAGCGGGGCTGCCTTGTCCGTGTGATAGAACGACATAACTTTGGATTGGGCAGTTTTAAAGAGCTCAGTTGATACTGAGAATGTGGGACTTTGGTCTGCACTGGGCTGCTTGTTTAGGTGTAACTGTGTGAGGTGATGCTTGTGGAGCAGGGGACATGCAGTGAGTGCCCCCGTTGCTGTTTCAGATCACAGCCAACATCGACCCCGTGGGGAGGATTCAGATGCGCACCAGGAGAACGCTCCGGGGACACCTGGCCAAAATTTATGCAATGCACTGGGGGACTGATTCCAGGTGGGTGCTGGGGGTACAGAGCAACTCGTGGGGCTTCGCTGTTCCTTGGGAAGTTGAGTGCCCAGGGCTTGGTACCGCTGGGAATCACCAGTTCTGAGAGAACTCGGACGGCCAAGAGAATTCAGGAGCACTGAATGCCACAGTTTTCCTCCTGATGTCCATGTCTTTGTAACCCAAATCAAAATTCAGATCCAAAGTGTACCACTCCTTGTCTGCTTGCCTGAAAAACATAGTTATGGTACCACATGAGTTCTGAGGAACTGTGGAAATAGAGTAGATTCCATTATCAGTTGTCTTTTTTCCTGACAGCTGCTGATGCTCACTTAGACTCGATGGCACTGATATCAGCTGCCTTCATCCTCTTTCCCTTACAATGTTCATCACAAAGGTGTTCCTCCTTGTCTGCCCACAGTGATTGTGTTTCCCTCCTGTTTCCTCTCTAGGCTTCTAGTTAGTGCCTCCCAGGATGGCAAACTTATAATTTGGGACAGCTATACTACAAACAAGGTAAGACCAGCTGATACATTGCCGTGTAATTCATTTGTAAATGCAAAAAAAAAAAAGGCAGTGTTACCTGTCATGATTTTGGCTGTGTTGCTTTCCCAGCCCCAAGTCCAGATTTTGAATTCTCCAAAGCAAACAAATTTCCACGTGAAGAGCAGAGCAGTGCCCTCAGTGCAGTGTGGTGTGGAACTGTGCACCACAGATGGAGAACAGGGAAAGACTGAATTCCAGAGAAAGTTTGGATGTGTTTTGATGCTGCAGATAAAGTGATTAACAGAGTGCAAGCAGTAATGAGCAGGTTGCACCAGAGGGGTCAGAGATTTAGGCATAGCCCTAATAATTTGTTGTCTGCAGTCCAGTGCTGCGAGACCTGCCATCCCCAGTGAGTCATCACTCTGTGTGTGCAGTCACATGATGCAGTTCAGGGTTACTTTTACTTTTATTTGACAGTGGTTGGTGTTTACTGGTGATGGGCACTGTTACCAGGGCTGGCAACAGTTCTCCTCACCCCTTGGAGTTGGGCTGACAGAGCTGCCCCAGTCTGTGCTGCACAGGACTGTGGGACTGGCTTTATTTCAAATGCATTTTCATAACATTAAAACCAATTTTGCCAATGCACTGGAGCAAATGATGTGCTACAGAGGAGAGAGAAGCAAACAACTGCAGCAGCAGCTCCTGAGACTGGGATTATTGTTGAACCCCAGCTGTAAAACTAATGAATCCATAACTTCAGTAAAGAGTAATAATATAGTTTGCAAATTAAAAATAAACCCTCTCCCTTTGCCTTCATCCTCCTCCTCTGGCCTCAACCTGCATCTAAATTACTGTACCAACTAAAAGATGGTAAAATAATCACTGTATACCATGATTTCTGTATTAGTATCTTCAGTTCTTGTATCTGTGCTCATCAATCCATGCAATATTTTTGGCAGTTCCAGCACACACTGGAAGTTGTGTTGTCATAAATATGATCATAAATATGATCATTCCCTAATGATAAAATAAGATGGCTCAAGGTGAATATTCCAATCAGTTCCTTGATAGAAGAATTCCGAAAATGGAAGCTGATTGTGGTTTTAGTACAGGGGTTGGGGGTTTTTTTAACTGCTGATTGTTGCAGGTTCACTGATCCCTGTCTGTTCCTCTGCTGCTACAGAAATCTCTACTTAAGGAATTCAGGAAGACTGTTAATATTGCAGGAAGTACCACCATATTTTTAAGGGTTATCAGCCCTTTCTTAAAGCAAGTTTGAGGGGTGAACACAATGAGTTAACAAGACAGAACAGGTTTAGCTTCCATAATTATCTAAAAAAAGTTCTTTGAGCACAGAATGACAAGGAAACATGGGGTAGTTATTTAACTATGAAGCTTGATTGCCTGCAGTGGGTTTCCAAAGCAGGATTTAAATGGCAGTGGAAGCAGCGATTTCCTTGCTTGTTCATTCACAGCAGCTCAGCCTGGAATTGGCACTTCTGCTGACTGTGCTTGGAAGTCAATATTTTCCTGAACCTATAATAAACCAATAGTAATCAGAGCGCTGAAATGAAATAATTTTACTTTTTACCGAAATCGCTGATCAGACTGGATTCAGGAAAGGCAAATCTGAGGTTTGGTTACGTCATCACTCGGTCTGACGAGCGATAGCTGCAAGTTTTACCCTCCAAATAGTTCTGATGCTCCAACAGCTGCTTCCTTCTTGCCCTTCTGCCAAAAAGAGAAGGGTGTGTTGGGGGACAGGCGAGAACCTTCCTGCTGGGCCGTGGGTTGTGGATGAATCGTGGGTGTGTGTTCCAGGTGCACGCCATCCCCCTGCGCTCCTCCTGGGTCATGACTTGTGCATACGCTCCCTCTGGGAATTACGTGGCTTGTGGTGGGCTGGACAACATCTGCTCCATCTATAACTTGAAAACTCGTGAAGGGAATGTACGTGTGAGCCGGGAGCTCGCCGGGCACACAGGTGAGTGCTGCTCAGGGGGCTCCAGCTTACCTGGGGAAAATTCAAAAATTCTCTCTCAAATCCAGTTTACCAGTTAAAAAGACACGCTTCCTTCCTCAGGCAGGACCTCAGCTGCAGACTGCCTGGTTTTTAAACGCTTTTAAACCGTTTTCCTGCTGCAGAATTGAACAAACCCCACAGCTGGAAGCTGATGCTTGCAGGTTTTCCTGTTTTGCTGTAGTTGGGATTTTCAGGAGATGTTTGTGCTGTGTGAAGTGGAGGTGGCTGGCGCTGATTTTTGTCATTGATGGCTGGGCAGGTGGGACTGGAGTACAAAGATGCTTCAGAGCATTCAGATGAAGTTCTTTGATGCCACTGTAGGGAAACATCCAACGTCCATGCTCTGGCCTTTGTGCTGACCAGGAATGTAGTTTAATTTCCCCCAGTAGTTGCATGACACAGTTGAGGTGTATCAGCATTTGTTGCTCCTGGTGCAGTGACACCCTTGCAGGCTCAGTTCCTTAGTTTCCTGTGTGCAGTGCAGGCTCAGCTGCCCTCTCCCCAGCTTGGCCAGTGGATTCCACCCCTCTGTCCCCCTTCCCCTGGCTGGGCTGGGTGTGATCTGTGAAGAACCAAACCACGTTTTGTCCAGAACATTGGAGGTTCCAACACAAACATTGCCTGTTGCATTCTGGGCTTCAGGAGAGGAGGGAGCAGCACATAATCCAGCCAGTTTGCAACATGGAGAGTAATCCCTGGCCTTCTCTGTGCCCCTTTTATTCTGTTCCCAGGCTACTTGTCCTGCTGTCGTTTCCTGGATGATAATCAAATCGTCACCAGCTCTGGCGACACCACTTGGTGAGTGTGACATTTGGATGTGATTTCACTGCAGTTAACAGTGCTGTTGCAGTGTTGGTTTTTTTTAATGCAACTATTTGGCTTTCAGAACTGAGTCTGTTAAACTAACAACTTTCCTCATGCTCTTTTTGTATTCAGTATTTGTTGCTTCAGAAGTCATATTTGGATTTTTCTAATGCAGAATTTGGTTTCTTGTTGTTCAGAAGAGCTCCTAGAAAATATTCTACCGTGACAGTAGCTGGGGTTTCTGAGGAGAATGTAGGTGTATGTCTTCATAAATACTGGCTTCTGAACTATAAAAGGCCTCCATCTTTTTTCATAGGTGTCTTTATTATATCTAATTCTTAAAAGCATTGCAGTTCTCCCAGGCAGCAGCTCTTAAAGCCAAGGTTGTCTAATAAATACCTCTCCTACACAGTGTCAGTCTCTTTGAATGCCTAATGTGTATTAGTTCACTGATTCTGAGTATGGAATATATATGGGGTTAAAATATGTTTCTAAATATGTGTTGGTGTTTAAAAAAAAACCCAAACCACAACCAACCAAACAAAAAAAAAGCAAACCAAAAAGGCTTTGTTAAAATTACACTCTTTAAAAGTGAAAGCAGCTGCTTCAGGAGTTATCATTGTAATTCTAGAGTTGCCTGGATAACAGTTTGTCCTTGACATCACTTGAATTCAGCCCAGCTTCAAAGCACAGTATCAGAGCAGAGTCAGCTCTTGTTTGCCTGGTGCAAACCTGCCACTGATGAGTCTGGTTTACTGAGAAATTACAGAAATTAAAAAGCCTGACTCTTCTTAAGGGTTTGGGCCTCCTGTAAGGAGGTGGTAGTGTTGTTTCATCCCTTTATGCTCTTTAATTATCACTCTAGTGGTGATTTTGCTGACTTGCAACTTTAAGATCAGACATAATTCACAGAATTACACATCCTCAGTGGGTCTATAAAAATGAGAAATGCTGACTCAGCTCTTGCTGTAGCCTTACCACTGCTGGTTTATATGAAGCTGTGGTAGTACTGGACAAGTCATTGCATGGCACAAGCATTCTGTGTATGAACAGTGGTGAGTGTCAGTCTTTAGTTTTTTCCACTGTTTTTTGATTTAAACCCCCCAATATTATAAAACTGAATATGGCTTTAAGGTCTTCTATGCACAGTTATCCTGGAACAGCCAAATAGTTCAACAAAAAAGTGTTTATTTCTGCAGTCAGTATCAATCCTGTTGATGCTTTAGGGAGTTCTGCTTCAGCGCTGCTGTAGATGAACAGGTTCAGAGAAGGATTCCTGTCTCACCTTCTGACGGAGCACAGACGTGTTGACTTTTGCCTTTTGAACCCTTCTTTCCAGCGCTCTCTGGGACATAGAAACTGGTCAGCAGACAACCACATTTACTGGGCACACTGGAGACGTGATGAGCTTGTCCCTCGCTCCCGACGCCCGGTGTTTCGTTTCTGGTGCCTGCGACGCCTCTGCCAAACTGTGGGACGTGAGAGAAGGAATGTGCCGGCAAACCTTCACCGGCCACGAGTCGGACATCAACGCCATCTGTGTGCGTGCCACTGGCCACCTGGGGGGGGTTTCAGCTCCTGAGCGTGTGCTCTGGGGGGTGGTGTTCCCAGGTTTTCCTAAACAATAGTTCTGGAGCTGAGGTGGTGAGTGGAAACTGGCTGCTCTTCCACGCTCCTCATTTCCTGGCCTGGCTCAGGAACAGGGTGGCCAACAGGTCCAGGGGAGTGATTCTGCCCCTGGACTCAGTGCTGGTGAGGCCACACCTCGAGTGCTGTGTCCAGTTCTGGGCCCTCAGCTCAGGAAGGACGTGGAGGGGCTGGAGCAGGTCCAGAGAAGAGCAACAAGGCTGGGGAAGGGACTGGAGCACAAGTGCTGTGAGGAGAGGCTGAGGGAGCTGGGGCTGTTCAGCCTGGAGAAGAGGAGGCTCAGGGGAGACCTCCTCACTCTCTGCAACTCCCTGACAGGAGGGGGGAGCCAGGGGGGGCTTGGTCTCTTCTCCCATCAGCAAGACAAGAGGGCCTGGCCTTAAGCTGTGCCAAGGGAAGTTTAGGTTGGAGATTAGAAAGAATTTCTTTCCAGAGAGGGTGCTCAGCCATTGGAATGGGCTGCCCAGGGAAGTGGGGGATTCTCCATCCCTGGAGGTTTCTAAGAAGAGACTGGATGTGGCATCAGTGCCATGGGCTGGGAACCACAGCAGGGTTGGATCAAGGGTTGAACTTGACGATCTCAGAGGTCCCTTCCAACCCAGCTGATTCTGTTGATTCCTCACTGGTTTTGCCCACTAGTGGAGAGTCGTGTCCTCTCATGTGCTGCTTCCTTTTCCCCACTCATGTGTGTACAAAATGGTGTGTTGGGTGAGTCACAGGAACCAAACCTGCAATCCTGTGTGTTCTTTCCCTCCCCACTGCAGTTCTTCCCCAACGGCAACGCGTTTGCCACGGGCTCGGACGACGCCACGTGCCGGCTCTTCGACCTGCGGGCCGACCAGGAGCTGATGGTCTATTCACACGACAACATCATCTGTGGCATCACCTCTGTAGCATTTTCCAAGAGTGGCCGTCTGCTCTTAGCTGGGTATGACGACTTCAACTGCAACGTGTGGGACACGCTGAAAGCTGATAGAGCAGGTGAGGCTTTGGGGTTGAATGGGGTGATGTCTGACTGGAACAGGCTGTGCAGGGAGCTGGGGGGAGTCACCGTCCCTGGGGGTGTCCAAGGGGATGATCAGTCAAAGACTTGATGATCTCAGAGGTCTTTTCCAACCCTAATGATTCTGTGATGCTGAATGCGTGAACTGAGTCTTGTGCAGAGACCTCTCAGGACTCACAGTCTCACCTTCAGAACTCTGATAGCCTGTTTTAGGGTGGCCAGTGATGTTAACAAATACACTGGAATATGCTCAAGGATGATGTCTCCCCTTCAGAACTCTGATAGCCTGTTTTAGGGTGGCCAGTGATGTTAACAAATACACTGGAATATGCTCAAGGATGATGTCTCCCCTTCAGAACTCTGATAGCCTGTTTTAGGGTGGCCAGTGATGTTAACAAATACACTGGAATATGCTCAAGGATGATGTCTCACCGTCAGAACTCTGATAGCCTGTTTTAGGGTGACCAGTGATGTTAACAAATACAACACTGCTCAAGGATGGATGCTTGGGAACAGGAAAACTGCCATTAAAAACAAGGGGTTGGGGTGGAAGGATTTTTTTTTTAAGACTTTATGGCTTTGTTTATGTGTTAACTATTCAAAGCAATTCAACATTAATGTTGCTGTTTATACACAGGAATTTTTTTCGTGGTGTTTGTAGCAGTAGTTGTAGAGACAACCAGCAGAACAACAGAGACTGTTGAGTTTATCTTTTGAGGAAATGAATGTGAAATTTATGGTCCAGAGAATAAGATAATTCAGCTTCAGTTCTTTAAAATGAAAACTTTTATTAGAAAAAAGGAAGAAAGATACAAATCAGGCTGCAAATGTTTCATTATTTTCATCAGAGAACATGGGATGAGAACAAATATAATGTGTATTTAAATCTTCTGAGGCTTCAGCTGACCAGGCAGATTTGGCACTTGTATCATGCCTGATCCTACACTGAACACCTTTGTGGTTCTGTTTTTGTACAAGTTTATAAGACTTCTTGGTGCTGTTTTTGTTTTACCAAATTGCAGCACTTACTGTTGGTGGTAGAACAAGGAGAGTCCTGTGAACAGTCAAATTCACGTAGAAAAATTAATTTCAAGTCTGTCAAGAATATCTTGGCTCAGTGCTGTGGACTGGGAAGAGCTTGAACCTAATTAGGTTTTCTTTTTACCTCCTTGAAACTGTTAAATTGAAGGGGATAGAGGAAAATGCTGCCTCCCTTAATTTTTCTGTTTAATGTCTCAATTCTTTTTTTAATGGTGCTATAATTGAATTGTAGCACATCTCCATATTGACAAATAGATTGGATGTAGGAGTTTGTCTTGTAAAGGTAGCAAGATTAAATTGGATGAAAAATGCTTTAAGTTCATAACATAATCCAGTTTAATTTCTGGTTTTCCACGTGTAAAAACTTTGCAGAATTTAACTGATCTTTATCCTTGTGGAGAGGAAATGGCAAGTGCTGTGCAGTGTGACATTGTCAGAATCTTCAGGGCTGTGATTTCCCAGCTCACCAGAGACCAGTGAAGGTCATAAAGAGGGGAACATCCAGGGAAGATTTTGGAGTAGTGCCTTCAGTGAATGACCCCCTTGGGAGCACACCCAGTTTTACCTGAGTTTGTGCTCGTAAAACCAACCATCCCAGCCCTGTTTGTTGAGGATTTTTGACTGTGTGGGTTGGCTGATCCAAAGGTGCCCCGGTGTGGCTCCAACTGAAGAAGTCATCCAGGAATGCATTCCCAAATAACGTTCCACATTCCCAAATAATGTTCCCTGTCCCCAGGTGTCCTCGCCGGTCACGATAACCGTGTCAGCTGCTTAGGTGTGACTGATGATGGCATGGCAGTGGCAACAGGATCATGGGACAGCTTCCTCAAGATCTGGAACTGAAGTAGGTGGGTATCCAATTAATTCCCGAGGGCTTGGCCTCCTTAGGGGTCCAGAGAGCTTTGTGCCAGCCCCAGCCAGTGCTGTGTCACTGGGGCTGCAGCTTAGCATTCAGATTAGGAAAGGCACTGAGGGGAAAAAACCCAGCCAGTTGGGTTTTTTAGAAGACTATTGCTTTAATGTATGCAATGACATTTCTCTGCTGGCCTGTTCTTGCCATCCTTTATTCTCCTGTGCTGTTTCTTGGGCCTGGGTTGGTAAATAAGTGGCGTTGTGGAATGGGGAGATAATGGCTGGGTGCGTCAGTGGGAGCCAGAGCAGAGCTGCAAACTTGATTGCAGTTTATCCAGGAGCAGCTCCTAATAAATAAATGTTTGTGTGTGTGGCAGAACTCGAGGACTCCACGACTGGAAGAAGTTCCCAACAAAATTAAACACGATAGCATATCCAATCCAACCATACTAACTCGGACCCCCATCCTCCCCAACTCAAAGGGCAAGATCTTCTCCGTCTCCTGTTGCTGAAATGAAGAGCACAATTACCTTTCCAAGAAGAATTTCTGTGTTGTAAGCAAAATGAAATTGTGCATTCCTTTTGGGACCACTTTTTTTTTTTTTTTTTTTTTTTTTTTCTTTTTTTTTTTTTTTTTTTTTTTTTTTTTTTTTTTTTTTTTTTTTTTTTAAAAAAAAAAAAAAAAAAAAAAAAAAAAAA